ATGATAAACTCACAGCCAACATATTGCTAAATGGACAGAAACTGGAAACATTTCCCCGAAAACCAGAACAAGACAATGCTGCCCACTCTCACACCTCCTGTTCAACATTGTGTTAGAAGTCCTAGCTACAGCAGTTAGACAAGAAAAGGATATCAGGGGTAGCCAAGTAAGAAAAGAGGAAGTTAAGTTATCCCTCTTTGAGATATAATTCTATATCTCAAAAATCCAAGAGAACCTGTCAAAAACCTCCTTGCATTTATAAAGGACGTTGGCAAAATCTCGAGGTACAAAATAAATGTGCAAGGGACAGTTTCATTCTTATACACACTAACAAAGGGTCAGAGAACCAAATAAAAAGCATAATCCCATTCTCAATAGCAACCCCCCCAAAAGGTGAAATACCTGGTATCTTCCTAGCCAGAGAAGTTAAAGACTTTTACAATGAAAACTACAAAACATTGCTCAAAGAAATCAAAGATGACACAAAGAAATGGAAAAATAGTCCATGCTCATGGATTGGAAAAACTAACATTGTTAAGATGTCCATCCTGTCAAAGTCAACCTATAGATTAAACATAATACCCATTAAATAACCAATATCATTCTTCTCATACCTGGAAAACAATACAGAAATTCATATGGAAACTAAATGACCATGAATAGCCAAAACAATCCTCTGCAAAAGAAGCAAAGAAGGAGGTATCATATTTCCAGACTTTAAATTTTATTATAAAGCTACAGTAATCAAAACAGCCCGATACTGACACAAGAACAGGCATATAGACCAATAGAACAAGCTGAAGATTCTAGAAGCAAAACCTCAGTTTCTCAATCAATTCATCTTCGACAAAGCCTCCAACAACAACCACTGAGGAGAGGAGAACCTATCCTATAAATGGTGCTGGCAATCTGGCTGATCACCTACAGAAACAAGACCCCTATCACCATGCACAAAAATCAACTCTAAATGGATCAAAGACATAAATATAAAACCTCAAACTATAAGAATCTTAGAAAACACAGGTGACACCCTTATGGAAATTGGAATAGGCAACCAATTGCTGATCAAAACCGCAGATGTCCAGGCCATAAGAAATAAGGTAGACAAGTGGGATCACATTAAACTGAAAAGTGTCTGCAGATCAAAAAAAACCATCAAGAGATTGGGGAGACAACTCATAGATTGGGAAAAAAGATTTGCCAATTGCATATCTGACAAAGGCCTAACATCCAGTATCTACAAGGAATTCAAACATGCTGAAGGAAAAAAAAAAAAAAAAAAACAGCCCTATTAAAAAGTGGATAAAAGACATGAATAGACACTTCTCAAAAAAAGATATATAGTCAGCCAGATATGTGAAAAAGTACTCAGTGTCACTCATCATCAAAGAAATGCAAATCAAAACCACAGTGAAAAGCCACCTAATCCCAGTAATAATGGCCATCATTAATAAAACAAAAAGCAACAGACACTGGCTAGGATGCGAAAGAAAGGGAACACTTCTACACTGCTGGTAGGAATGCAAACTAGTTTGACTTCTGTGGAAAACAGTGTGGCAATTTCTAAAAGAACTAGAAATTGACCTTGTGTATGTCCCACAATTTTCCTAATGGGAATATGCCCACAGGAACTCAAATCATACTACAGTTATTGCAGAACTATTCACAATAGCAAAATCATGGAACCAACCGTGTTGCCCATCGAAACTGAACTGGATAAAAAAATGTGGTACATATACATGATGCAATATTATGCAACCATAAAGAAGGACAAACATACCATCTTTGCAGCAACTTGAATAGATTTGGAGTCTATAATACTCAGTGAGCTATCACAGAAACAAAGAACTGAATATCACATATTCCCACTCATAAATGGACCCTGAATATTTATCATACTACTATAAGAAAAGGATTAACAGTAGTGGGAAACTACCAGGGGAGTGGGAGGGGGATGTAACACAACATCAATAAGAGTACCTGATCTCAGCCAGGCTCGGTGGCTCAGCCTGTAATCCTGCGCCTTTGGGAGGCTGAGGTGAGTGAATTGCCTGAGCCCGCGGGTTCGAGACCCGCCTGGGCAGGCGAGACCTCATCTCTACAATAAATCAAAAAATCAGTCGGGCGTGGTAGCGCATGCCTGTAATTTCGGCTACTTGGAAGACTGAGGCGGAAGGATCGCCGGAGCCCAGCAGGTCGAGGCTGCGGTGGCCGGGAGCAGCCACTGCACTCCAGTCTGGGCGACAGTGTGAGACTCCAACTCAAAAAAAAAAAAAGAGTACCTGATCTCAAACAAGGTGAAGTGGGTACCAAAGGGAGGCCCAAACTTTATCTATACTATGACCACTTTTATATCTAATCCTGAATTGTACCCCACATCCTTAAAATAAAAAAGGAAAAGAATGTTTTAAAGTAAATGATTTTCACAGCAGAAAAAGCGGGGAATAAGTTTGTTTCCTTGTTTCCTTTCGATTCCTTTCTACAACAGAACACCATGAGACATATTTTGAAGGAATCTGAATGCTTCTTTGCTGTCATTATTTACTGTTGCCTTCCCTGCCTCCCAGCAACCATTGCTATTCAGTTGCTTCAACATCCTTGATCATGGGATGTGGAATGTTAATTGAAAAACCTTACCCCTATATCTCTTAGGGTTTGGTTTGCTTGCATATAAAAAAAAAGATAGTTCAAACAAGGAAGCTGTTTATACACAGTTCAGAGATAGAGGATGGTTCCATGGTTATCAGGAACCTGGGCCCCCTCTATTTTTCCTATTCCAGACCCAGAACATTTTTTATGTCCTGAGAGTTACCTTAAAGTCCAAGATAACTGCCAGAGTGTTAGCCATCATCTTTATATTCCAGACAACAGAAGGAGAAAGCAAGGGAAGGCAAAAAAGGACATTTTCCAGGATGAATTATTTTTCTTTAAAAACAAATCCTCTGTTTATATCACATTAGCTAAAAACTAGCATATACCACATCTGACTGCAATGATTGCTGAAAATAAAGTATTTCAGCTGAATATTTTACCAATCCTAATGAAATTAGAGATCTATTGCTGAGAATGAAGGGGAGAATGGATAGTCACAGGCAATTAGTAACCTCTGCCATATTCCTCAAATATCCATAGCTTCAGATTACTTACCTCTTTCCTACTCACTCAATAAAGCTATCTCAATTCTTTAAAAATAAAAAGAAAAAAAAGTCAAACTTACAGGAATTTCACTGGGAGTACCTTAAAAAAATTGTGATGCCCAGGCCATACCCAGTCCAATTAAGTCAGAAACTTGAAAAGTGAGACCTAGATATTTTTCAAAATATCCTGGAAGGCCAGGTGTGGTGGCTCATACCTGCAATCCCAGCACTTTTGGAGGATGAGGAGGGATAAATTGCTTGAACCCAGGAGTTGGAGACCAGCCTAGGAGATAAACTCAGCCAAATCTGTCTCTACAAAGAATAAAAAAAAAAAATTAGCCGGGCTCGGTGGCTCAGCCTGTAATCCCGTGCCTTTGGGAGGCTGAGGTGAGTGGATTGCCTGAGCCCGCGGGTTCAAGACCTGCCTGGGCAGCGAGACCTCATCTCTACAATAAATCAAAAATCAGCCAGGCGTGGTAGCGCATGCCTGTTATTCCGGCTACTCGGAAGGCTGAGGCGGAAGGATCGCCAGAGCCCAGCAGGTCGAGGCTGCGGTGGCCGGGAGCGGCCACTACACTCCAGTCTGGGCGATAGAGTGAGACTCCAACTCAAAAAAAAAAAAAAATTAAAAAGCGAGGTGTGGTGGTGGTACATGCCTGTAGTACCAACTACTCAGAAGGCTGAAGTGGAAGGATCTCCTGAACACTGGAGGTCGATGCTTTCATGAGCTATGATCGTCGTGATCATGCCACTGCACTCCAGCCTGAACAACAGAGTGAAACACTGATCCAAAAAAAAAATCTTTTTAGTGATTCCAGAGGGCAGTCAAGCTTGAGAACCACTGTCCTATAGAAATTTTGAAAGAAGACTAGTAATCCAAATGACACTATAGTCTGTCACTTTTGTCTGCTACTAATGCTGCTTAGTCAGCTATATATCTCCTGCCTGTCATGAGTAAAGAACAATTTGGGGAGTGTTTGCCAATGTTTGCCTATGGGGTCACTTTTCTTATAAAAATCAATCCCCCAGTTTTTTTCCAGCAGAACCATCTATAGCACATAAGCTACAAGATTTTCTGAAAACTCCAAATGTTCTTTACTAGTGTTGGTCATCTCTGATACCTGTGCTTTTCACATACTCTCACATGCATTCAAATGCTCTATATGGCTCCAAAATAATTCTCAAATTTGTCAATTACCTTTATCTCATTCAAAACTCACACAGCAACTAAAGAAATGTTTAAAATATGCACAAATAAATCTGACTCCATTCTTCCTCTGCTCTACCTATATCCCTAGAATAGCTTTCTATTGATCTAGGACTCTCTGATCTGCAATATCTCCCCCTTGCCTTCCTCCTCACCTCATCTTAGGCCACTTATCACACTACCATACAATAGCTTCCTTTCATGCCTCCCTTTCTTGTAGTTAACCCATTTGCCAACCCATGGGATCTCCAAATTCAGTCAAGAACACACTCATTTGTTAATTCCTATTGTAAGAGACCTTCCCTGTGCCCACTGACTTGTTCACAACCCATGCAATACTTCTTCATGACCCTTATCACAGTTATAAGTCATTGCTTAAAAGGTTCCCAGTTATTTTTTGAGGGCAGGAACCATGTTCTTCATGATTCTATTTCAAAACCTAGAACAGCTCCTATCACAGAAAAATGTATTCAATATTGTGAACATAAATATATCCTGAATGAATATGTGAAAGAATGAGTAGCATGAGATCCTGAAATTAGAAATGTAGATGGAAACAACCTGAAGTGGTCATAAACAGCTGAGGGTAACTTCGGGATGTGTGACACAGGTAGACATCTCTCCCTGTCTTACAACATGTGTCTGTGTCTCTGCAGGTTGCGATTTGATCCCAGTACAGTATCTTCGATGGGGTGACCCGGAGCCCATTGCAGCTGTGGTGTTTGCCTGCCTTGGCCTGCTGGCCACCCTGTTTGTTACTGCAGTCTTCATCATTTACCGCGATACTCCAGTAGTCAAGTCCTCCAGCAGGGAACTCTGCTACATCATCCTCGCTGGCATCTGCCTGGGATACTTATGTACCTTCTGCCTCATTGCAAAGCCCAAGCAGATTTATTGTTACCTTCAGAGAATTGGCATTGGTCTCTCTCCAGCCATGAGCTACTCAGCCCTCGTAACAAAGACCAATCGTATTGCAAGGATCCTGGCCGGCAGCAAGAAAAAGATCTGTACCAAAAAACCCAGATTCATGAGTGCCTGTGCCCAGCTAGTGATTGCTTTCATTCTCATATGCATCCAGTTGGGCATCATAGTTGCCCTCTTTATAATGGAGCCTCCTGATATAATGCATGACTACCCAAGCATTCGGGAAGTCTACCTGATCTGTAATACCACCAACCTAGGAGTTGTCACACCTCTTGGATACAATGGATTGTTAATTTTGAGCTGCACCTTCTATGCGTTCAAGACCAGAAATGTTCCAGCTAACTTCAATGAGGCCAAGTATATTGCCTTCACAATGTATACCACCTGCATTATATGGCTGGCCTTTGTGCCAATCTACTTTGGCAGCAACTACAAAATCATCACCATGTGTTTTTCGGTCAGCCTCAGTGCCACAGTGGCCCTTGGCTGCATGTTTGTGCCAAAGGTGTACATCATTCTGGCCAAACCAGAGAGAAATGTGCGCAGCGCCTTCACCACCTCAACTGTGGTACGCATGCACGTAGGGGATGGCAAGTCGTCCTCCGCAGCCAGCAGATCCAGCAGCCTCGTCAACCTGTGGAAGCGGAGGGGCTCCTCTGGGGAAACCCTAAGGTAAAAGTTGTGGGGGCAATATGGGGCACTGGCCCCTATAGCTGAGAGAATGGCATTTGCTTTCTGGATCTCTTGGATGGGAGAGATTGGAGCAAATGAAACAATGGGGAACAAGGTACCTTGACTGGCTTTTGCAAGGTTAATTGGATGTAGGTCTAATTACTTAGGCCAAGGCTAGAAACATGGAAGTTGAGATCACTAGGAAAGCAAAGAGTTACAGCAAAGGGAAGCAAGGTGGAGAGGTCAGGGAGAGAATAATCAAGGCAATGACCCCCATGTCCTAAGGGGACAGAGATACATTGTGGGCTACATTCAAATTCATCAGAACAGAGAAGATTATAATTAACACAAAAGATAATGCTAAGAGCAGAATGCCAGGAGTTTTATACATCTGACTGCACTGACACATCTCTGAACCTTATTCAAGCCCTCAAGAGCCATGAGAATGTAGAATCTATTTTAGTTCTTAACAGGTAAGTCAAACTTTTTGCATGTTTAAATAGCTGAAAGGGGCAAACAACCAAGAGGGATTTGTATATAATCGTCCTAAACAACCAGTTTCCCAATTCTGTGTTGCCCATAGTCCCATCACATCCCCGAGTTTAACCTCATGGGTTACTGGACAATTTTTATCTGGAAAAAGTCTGGAGCAAACAGTCCATGATTTCTCCCTTTATGGAAAACTTCCTTATGTGATAAATGACGCCAAAGCACTTCAAGAGAAAATTAGATCATGTTATCAGTGACTTGGGAACAACTTTTGATGTATCAAAAATGCTACATAGATTGTTGATCATTGAGAATGAGTTCCTTATTTCCATAGATTGAAAATAAAAATCTCCTCTATTTCAGAAGTACATATCAAAAGAGTTAGTCAGGACATTAGCCCTGCTAAAGAGCTTTCCCAGTATTTCTAAAAGCTAGATAAATAAATGAAAGATAAGTATCTTTCAAATGATAGATAAATATCTAAATATTGCTTAAACTCTTTCCATATACCATCACTTAGACAGCATGAAAGTCCTACTTTTCTGTCAGCCTTAATTCTTCAAAGCATGAATTAAACTGTTGGTAAAGGTACTAGTCTGCTGAGGTTTGAAAAGAACTTGCTGGGTACTTCAATTTTATCCACAATGTCCAATTTATTTACATTATTAACTTGTACTCTTGCCTCTTTCATTTCTTTTCTAATTCCTTTACACTTCTCATCTCTTCCAAGCACATAATACAAGACATTCAACTAAACTGTAACTTGGTCTTCTTCAGTAAATCCTGCCAATGTCATAGTCTACACAGAAGGTCATTCATAGATCTAACCCACTGGCATGTTTTCCATCTGTCTCTTGACTCCTCTATTAAACATTCCTTTTCTGAAACTTCTGCAAGATCAGCCTTTTATTTTGGCTAAGAAAATTTATTTTTTGAACTTTGTTTTATTAGCTTTTCTTTAAATTATTTAATTAAACAGGGAAGCCAATATATATAAAAGATAGGGTGCTGGAGGGAGAGAATTATGAATCTATGTCTAAGCATCTCAGCAACTCACCAGAGAAGGCTCCTTAGAGAGACAGCATGGAGTGATGGCAAAAAATACTGGCTGTGAAGTCAGATTGTTCTTGGTTTGAACACTGGCACTGCTGTTTCATCTCTTCACATCTTATTTTTTTCATTTGACAGATTGAGATCATATCACCTACCTCATAGAATGTAAAGAATGAATGAGTCAACACATGTACAGTATCAGCCACATAGTAGGCATTTCTTAAGTATTTGCCATTTTGATTAATTGTTAGCAATTTATCAGTTTTCTTTCACATCTGAAAGTTGTTGTGTCTGATGTGCAATCAGGTTGATTTTAATAATAAAGAGAGCATCATAAAAGGTAGTACAGATCTATGGAGTCAATGATTACACAGTCTGGGTTTCCTAGGACATTTGCATCTTTACATTGCCAGATCCTCACCAGACTGTATTGCATACCCTGTGTTCCAGTTTTAGCAGAGTGAAATCTCCTTGGGTGTGCAGGCCTTGGGTACCTTTTGGATCACTGTGTGTCCTATGCCCAGCTGTACCTGGAAGATCACTTGGCACCTAGAAGATGCTTAATAATGATATTTTAACTTATCTGCTGAGTGAATGAATTTGGGAGGATAGTATGTGGTAGGTATTTTTTTTGCTTGTCTTTAAGGGTGCACACTAATATTCCCAGTAGCACTATTAATGTCCATAAGATTAAGACTTCAGTGCCTTGTATTACAAACATCTCTTGCACTCCTATGGTCATTAGTCTCTGTTCAAGAATAAGATCATTGAATACATTTGCTGAAGTTACAATATTCCTCTAGTATTATTTAATTAACATTTTAACTATTTCATTTCTAATTTAATAAAAGAGACAAAAACATCAAATTTTACTGGCAATGCTAAGGATTGTGTTGCAATATTTTAACTTACTTTCTGTACAGTGCTATGTAGTTCTTGATTAGATTTTGCAACTGGTATATTTTGGTATTAGAGACTCAAAGAGAATAAGGACCTTTGACAACTGTTGTATTTTCTTTCTGCAATCTTGGCAAATCTTGGTCTATTCATGTAATTATAGCTGAGACAGGCTACAGTCTGATTATATAGAAACTGCTTTTTTTTTTTCTTTGCCATCAACCAGCATATTCAGGCTTGAATCTCCTTTTGATATGGAAAATAAAAAAGGATAGAGAAAGCTATGATGCTCTTGCATTCATACATCTCATACTTGCTCCCCTTTGTAAATCATAATCCTCAGAGACAGATGCAAACTATAGCGTTTATGAGCTCCTAAACTAAGTATTTATTCTCTGTGATACATAATCAAGATGTTTGGAGTATTTATCACATTGTAGAATATAACTAGTTATGCAGGGATTTATCTCCCCTCAACTTTGTAATTCTGTAAAGTTCAGGTCTATCACATTGTCTGCCACACTTAAAAAATAAAAAATGATCTCTAGTGTTTCTAATACTTTTACATTTTATTCAAAACCACTGTCATTAGTTGAATTTCTCAGGCTTGAAAACTGTAATATGCCAGTGAGCCCACCTCTTGGGAAGTTGGATGGGCTTAAGTAGGTAACTTAAATCACTGCATATAGGTCTTTGGGAGGAATCAGCTACCCCATTGGGCCCAGCCCTGTTCTGCTCTCCTCCATCTGGTTTTCATAGAAGCTGGAGGCCATAGCCCAAGCGAGATGTGGGCCCTGTTTCTAGGTGAGGTCTCTACGTGTCCCTTCCACAATGAAAGGTAGACAGCAAGAGCTCTATTTTAAAGAAGACACCGATTGCATACCTTAAAGTGAAGAATGTAATACTACCTACCAAGGTTAAAATGCCTGTCTCCAAAACTTAGTACAGAGTCCTGGATTGCAACCCAGCTGTATGAATTTGAACAAGGTACTTTAGTCTGTTTTCTCAACTGTATTATGGCAGATAATAATTACTGGGTTTTTTTTTTAATGAGGTAATATGTGTTAAGTGTTGAGTGCCTGCACATAGAAAGTAATCTTTGGTAGCTAAAACTTTTAGAACTACATTTAGCTGAAAGTAGCAGAAAGCCTATTTTCAGAGGTGTATACACTTTGAGTTTCATTCTCCTCATGTTACAAGAAATATGAAACTCAAAGAGCATTAACCTTTGAAAACAAAAAATAGAAGAAAGGGGATAGTAGTAATAGAAGGAGGAGGAGTGGGAAGGCGGGCAAAGAGGGGAAGGTGAGGAAAAGAAATGGAGGAGAAGCACAAAATAAAAGACTGAGGGAAAAAATTCCAAATTAAAGTAGTCCCCAAAAGTGTTTCCTTTATTGCACACCTACTACTGTGTTCTGTAACCTTACAGAACATATCATATATCATATATATATGATATAATGATATCAATATATATAATTAGTCTGATATTTTTAGCTGTCACAAAATATTGCAAGTACAAGTGACCATCCTCCATTTCTCAGATGGGGAATCTGAGGTCCAGTATGGTGAGAAGACCTGCCCATAGCCTCATGACTCATGAGTAATGGAACAGTTTCCAACTAAGGTCCTAGGTAATGACCACTAGAGCTGAGCATTTCCTGGAGGGTATTCTTTGGAAAATTACTCTCCTAAAGTGCTTTATGAAAAAGAAGCTATTTGGTTAAAAAAAAACTTGAAAAAGCTCTAATCTTTTATTGACAATAAACACTGAGTAATGTTGCAGTGTAAAAACCTATCATCTATTTATTAAACTCTTTCCAATCATTCCCCACACTTACTGTACACAGACCTTTTTTACTTTTTATTTTTCCAAGCAGCTCTGTTGACATTCTAAGCACTAATGCTTCAAAGGACTCACTTTGAAAAACATCATCATGGGCCCAAAGAAGATATGTTTGTAAGAAGGAGGCCACAAGGAGAAAATTTCCACCCCTGATCATGGAGAGAGAATCACTTTGAGCTCTCTGAGCAGCTAAGGAAAAAACAAAAAAATGGCTAATTCTAACAGATGTAACCATTTTCTGGAAAGTTAAATTAGCTCACCCAAGAGCACAAAGAAGAAAAGGGCCCAGAGTCAGTCATTCAATTCACCAAAATAGCAAAGGGAGATTTTTTTATTTAAATGGAATGAGTCACTATAGATTTTTTCAAATATAGAAACATGCTATTTATGCCATCAATGTATAGAAGTCCCTATGATTAACATTTTGGTTCTAGACACTAATTTCCAGCACAACATGGTGCAGCATCAAAACATTGTCAAGCAGATAATGCCAGGCTTCCATTTAAGGCCTTCACTCCAGCTGCAAATTGACAAATGAACACAAAACCAGTTCTGACCGCTCTACAAGATTCAGAATTTCAAGGGACATAGAACTTCTCAAGCACAGTGGACCTTTCATGGCTAAATTAATGAGAGACCTATAGCTATAAATTATCCATTTCCTCAGATGCTAAAACCCTCCCTTGAGATTCAAGTCAGGTGGCAGAATCATTAG